GATATCTAAAAATTAAAGTTTAGGTGTTAGATATGTAAATACTAAATACATAGGAATGAAGTGAAATGTATGTAAATCTTCCTTTTTTTTCAAGTCTGGATATCTAAGCTGCGCTTGCCTCATAAAATGAACCCCATTCCATATATTTATGGAAATCACACAGTTATAAGCAAAAAAGAGAGAAAAATGAAAAAAGGAAAATACATAGACAGGAATGAAAATAAATAAATAAATAAATAAAAGAGAGAGAAACATCAACTATTTTTAGGCTAATAATTAGGGAATGGTCAAAGAAGGTACGCATAATCACGGCGATGATGCACCCCAAACACATGATTGACTAATGTTACTTGATTGTAGGTCCCATGCGGATGACATCGGATATAATCTTCATATATGTATGCATCGAATATCCTTGTGTTATAGTGTTGCCAATGTGGGTTAAGGTTGGGTTCGATTCTAACTCTAATTAACTCCACCTAATTCTGTATAACACACAAACTCAACATGTTTCTCAAAAAAACTTACTTAACCCAAATCTGACTCTCCTACAACACGACTAACCCGAACCTGACTCCCACTCGAAGAACCCATTTAACATATTTAAAACAAGATTCATAAATACATGATAAATGATACCTTTAGAATGGTAAATTTGAACTGAGAAAAATGAAGTTAGATATTAAAAGTGATATGGGTCAGCGGGTCTATATGAACCGAACTCGAACGTTAAGCTGGTCAACCCAAATCCAAATTTTACGGGTTGGTTTCATGTCAGGTTGTCATGCCATGTCATTTATTAATATTAATAAAATTTATTATTGTAAAATTAATATTTATCGGGAACTGAGTCAATACTAAATTGTAAATCATCACTTGATCGATTTCCTTGCAATTATTCCCTCGCATCAAACTTGTCTGTATCACATTTATTTAATCTAATAAATTTATTATTATTATTTTCAGATGGATGCTATATTGTCGAGGAAAAGATTCTCAAAAATCAAGAAAAAGGCTCAGGTGACTGTCTCTGACCTGGATATTGAGAGAATTTCAATCCCTATATCTCGGCCTGAATTGGAAGGGTCCTTCCCAAGATCTGAACCAAAGTCAAATTTTGGAACAAAATCTGAAAATTCATCAACCATCACTTTAAATGGCTTATATGAGGATCGTATAAGTTCATCAATCAGCCTGCATTCAACAAAAGCCTTATGCCCTCCTGTAACTCTGAAAACATTATCAGGAAAAGCATTCAGCATCAAAAAAAAACTAGCCGTTATTTCTAAAGATGATTCAAATTTAGACAATCTTTCATGCTCGAGCTCTAAACTCAAACCTGCTATAATATCTGAATCCCAACCAGGGGACGAATCAGACAAAAAGAAAATAAGGGATTCTGCTAACAGGGATCGAGTTAACTCGGTGAAGGACTCGAATTCGTGCTTAAGTTCAAATCCTACTTCCAGTCAAAGTAGTTGCAGCAGCTCACAGAGGAACAGCTTGGATGGTTACTCCTCCATGGCTGCTCAAGTGAAACGGCACACAGGTCACGATAGTCGGTGGCAGGCGATCCAGCTCGCTAGTTTGAGAGATCCGCCGCTTGGGCTTAATCACTTCAAACTACTCAAACGGTTAGGTTTTGGTGACATAGGGAGTGTTTATCTTGTTCAGCTGAAGGGCAGTGATGCATATTTTGCAATGAAAGTTATGGACAAGGCTTCCATTGTTAGTAGAAATAAGCTGATCAGAGCACAGACTGAGAGGGAGATCCTCAGCCTTTTGGATCATCCTTTTCTGCCGACTCTTTACTCGCATTTTGAGACCGATAAATTCTACTGCTTGGTGATGGAGTATTGCAGTGGAGGCAATCTCCACTCTCTCAGGCAAAAGCAGCCTCACAAATATTTCACTGAGCAAGCAGCAAGGTACTGTTTTATTCTTTCAACAAATGTTTCCTTTTTTCTTTCTTTTTTTTTTTTTTACTTGGTGGGGTGGAGGGCATTTACAAACTTACTACCCAATTAATTGCTTTGTAATTTATGTATATATCACCTAAACTTAAAAAATAACATTAATAACAGTACTCTAAAACTTTCACATCACATTAAAATTACCACCATTTTAACGTTCAAAAGTGAAATACACCTTCCCATGCATAGGTAAGGTGGCATGTATGTAAAAATTGAAGTTTGTTTGTTAAATATTTAAATACATAGGAATTGAGTGGTATGTTATGCAAGCTTGTTGTTGATTTTAGTAGAGAGTTAATAAATTATGAGCTTATGTTATGCATCACTGCCCTTCCTGTCCTATTAGGTGCATCTTAAAGCTCATAATACTAGGCCATTGGAGAATATGCAAGTTTAACTATAATTATTATTGAGATTTGTATCTAATATAGGGTCCTACTTGTAAATTGATGAAGCCTAGGGATTTATTTGTAAATGTTGCAACTTGTAAGATTTTATATAACCCGTCATCAATGAAATGAAGGTAGTCTTTTTAGCAATAATTTCTCTTTTGGTATCAAAGCCCTCATCCTAGCAGCCAGCTGGCCTCCTGTGCAACTCGATCATTGTTTCCTTTGCATAGCTACACGGTGAAAGAGCTCGCTGGGAAGGCAACAAGATCGCGGTAGACCAGGTTGCTTGAGGCAGATGGGATTGTGACAGACAAGGTCGCTCGCAGTAGACGAGATTGCGATACCTTGGAACTCCCAGAAGCTTCATGCAGGCTTTTATCACGAAGAGCTTCTGAAAAGGCTTGCTGCGAGAGGAAGGAGCAAAGCAGGGCTTTGCTTTTGCTGGTATTTCATACGCAACAGTCTCGTGGTTGCCTTCCCAAGGAGCTGTGATTGAGGATGACAGGAGACAGAGAAAATATATAAGGTAAAGGAGAACTTCTAGGAAATATAGATCCTGAAGTTATGAAGGTCTTAGTTGGGCTCATACAGGGAGCTAGTGTCTCGACAAATGTCACTATCTCAGCATGTGCTTCGATGCAGGTGAAGCTAGATCTCCCTTCTATGGATCTGAAGCTCGATGGATCAGTCACATATCTGAGTTGGTCCCATCGGGTCGAGGTTGTTGTAGTAGGGAAGAAACTAAAAGGATATCTGACAGGTGTCAAGCCAAAGAGTGACAATGCTGAGAGGGATGAGTGGAGGACCACACACGTCTTGATTTACACTTGAATACTCAACACGATGGTTCTACGATTGCCTCATCAGTGGATGAGCGAAATTTAGGCGAAACTGAAGAAGATCTATGTTGGAGCTAAGAACCACAGGAGAGTGTTTCGGATTCAATGTGAGATAGAGGCAGTGGTTCAGGGTGATAGATTGATTTAGAAGTACTCTATACGGTTGGATCAGCTGTGACAAGATCTTGATCACTTCTCATCTATCTCAAGTTGTGGTGATTCAGGGTGTAAGAAGTGAGAGATCTTTGCACAGATAAGGTCTATGCAGTTTTTAGCTCATCTAAACCCGACCTTTTATAAGAGAAGATCGATTTTCCTGGCTCAGGCGACAATTCCTACACTAGATGAGGTCATTATTGTGATGATACAAAAGGAGAGTCGTATGAAGCTACACTCTTAGCCGAGTGCTTTTTTGGGTGCACGATCAACATTGGTTGTTGCGAGTTTAGGTACGCTAGGTGTTCAGGGGGAGACTCACAAGTGCTACAGCTGTAGTGAAATTGGTCATCTGAGCAGGGCCCAATTTAAGCCACCTAAGGAGAGAGAGATATGTGGACATGGACATGATGGAGGTCGTGGTTGTGGGGTCAGAGAGGTGGAAGAGGGTGTTACCTGACAAATTTAATGATAGCAGAGGGCGAGGGAGAGATGTGTGAACTTTACTAGTGAAGATCATGAGTGTCTGGAGTTGTTAAAGAGGAAGCAGGAAGCAGCAGGAGATGGTGATGAAAATGTTTCAAATCCATTCACATTAAGGGGTAACATTGCCACTTAACTCGCTTCAACAAAGTTATTGGTGACACACTTGCTCTTGCCTCTATTTCCACCACAGAATCATCATGATGGATCATAGATTTTGGTGTTCTCATCACATGACATGTATTGTTGGAGTGCTCTCTTCATATACTCATATAACAGTACCAGAGAGTATACAGACTGCTTATGGTATAAAGTAGCTTGTAGTCGGTAAGGGTATAGTGAGATTTACCAATCATATGACTCAGTTGCATGCTCATTTTTCAGTAAATCTCTTATCCATTAGTGTCATTATTCTCCAGTTATATTGTATTTTTTCATTTGATATTTCTCGGGTTATCTTCCAAGAGAAAGGAACGGGCCGGACACTTGGGACTGATACGTAGCATAGCAGACGTTGGTACTTTGGTCGAGAGATGATGAAGTTAGCTCTGACATCTATGGTGGAAAGTGCTGGAGTAGGATAATTTAGGAGGAATGTCGAGGACATGTTACAGCTACATCATAGACATATGGGAAATTCTATTCTTATTTTACTGTGTCGATTGTATCAATTTATTTATGAAAAGAAAAATAAGAAAAAAATCGGTGTGTGATGATTGTGAGTTTGGCAAGCTCAATAGGAGCTCTTATGTCAGTTCTGGGAATAAAAGCTCTAGTGTGTTTGATCTGATACATTCTAATGTATGGAGACCTTGTTCCACTAGTTTTATGAATGTTTATTGATATTTTATTGCGTTTATTGATTATTTTTTTCGTGTTACCTAGATATACTTGATGAAATAGACTTGCTTTTAAAGATTTTTATAAGGGAATCCAGAACATATATGATGAAGTTGTGAAGGCACTAAGATCTGATAATAAGACATAATATATTATTTTTTATTTTTTAAAAAACAAAAGGTCGTCAGCTTGTCTACATGTATGACATCGTCATATAATTCCCCTTTCCAAATAAATCTCCCTCTCAGACCATATAAATGATCCGAAGAGGAGAAAAATCAGAAGACAGGATATACGACCAAAATAGACAAATAATTTTAAAAAGAAACATTGAGGACTTATGTATAAGTAATCTTTGTGTGATGGGTCAAGAGTATACTTCCGAACAAGATCACATTGAAATACTTCAAAACACTATATCCATGAAAAAATTCTTACATAAGCCACCCATAACCAGAGAACCAAAAATAACATTTTTGTTCTGGGTCAAGATCACTCCCAAAGAAGCCAATCCCTTTAGCTAATTACATCTTAGAGGATACCCATTTGTACTCTCGATAAGAGGAGTCTTGCTTACATTATCAGGACCAGTAAATATGTCATCAAAAGGATAGTTATTTTACAGGAATATTCTGATGCTTTCAGAGTTCTCGCTAAACCATAGAGCAGAGAGTGAATGTCTCACATCCTAAATGAATAGCGACTCATCGTCAGTCGGGGCCTGTGAAATAACCAGATCCACTCATAGAGTCCACACTATACTTCATGGGCCAAATAGGGCCATAAGGGTAGAGGGTGAATCACCGTTTCCCGAATGGGAATCGAGGCATACGGGGCGAAATCAACGACATCACAAAAGGACAAATGGGCTTAACAGAAGGAGAGGATGAGTAATCATAAATAGGTAGTTATAATTGTGTCAAGATACCACAAATCAGTCATCACAAGCTATTAGGACCCTATGTCTACCTGATCGTGAAGGTCGTCGACCCAACAGAACCAGAAACTCCTTTTCAGCAATACATGCATTGCGTTGTCCAGGAGACTTTAGTAAGGAAACTCTAAATTCTATGACCATATAAAGGTAGAGCTCATAGAGGTGGGATTTATACTAGCCAAATAAATGGTGAAGATGCCACCAGAAGAAAGAGAAAAGAAAGGTTCAACTATAAAACTGAAAAGACTCCACAAAAGACTTCCCGTCTGGGTTGGAGAAGCCTCTAACATCCTAGTCATGTTAGATAACCACATAAGTATAAAACTTATGCTTGACCATTCGATTTTAAGAAGCACGAGAACTTTTTCTCGGCACATGCAACTAGCCTTCAACGTGGAGGCCCTATTAGGGATGACTTGGGATATAGTCATGCTATGTAACTTAAGGCCATGCAAAAAAGAAAAATGCAGGTTTTAAATAGTTAAATACTTTAATCCTAAATTTTGATTAATCTTAAATATTTTATTAGGATTTTTGAAAAAAAATATAATATTAAAGTCCTTAAAAAGCTTAAATTACAATGTTGGATTTCAGACAAACCACAGGTTGGTGCCGCTAGGTAGGCTACATATCCAAAAAAAATAAAGAGTGGTCAGGCGTCGCATATACACGTTTGATCCTAGTTTTATACATTAACGAAAATGTGGAATTAAGATATGGGACATGAGCATCTACTCCTAGTCCCTGTCACATGGTTTCACGCCTCAAGCGCCTCGAAACTCGTGTCCGTATCTTATTTCCGCTATTAGACTATCCAAAGGCTCTAAAAAGTACATATGAAAAGTTAAAAAAAAAGTTCTCGACCTGCACGAAAATCATGTTAGCAAATAACTATCTATAGGCAACATGGTGAACCATGCCCGGTGGGAGGAGAGCATAACACATGCAAAAAATGTATTAACATCAACCATTATAGCTCCTCCCTGTTGTACATAACTCTCTGCAAAAGATCGCCTCTAATATACTTATGCGCAAGTTTCATAACCAACAAAAACACAAAGCAACACAAAAGGTAATGCTTGACTAGGGTAACATGGTGAACTATGCCCGGTGGGAGGAGAACATAACAACACCTGCAGAAAAGGTATTAACATCAATCATTACAGTTCCTCCCTGTTGTACATGACTCTCTGCAAAAAGATCACATCTAATATACTAGTGTGCAAGTCTCATAACCAGTAAAAACATGAAGCAACGCAAAAGGTAATGGCTGACTAGGACAACGAAACTAGCAGAGAACTATAGTCAAGACATCGGAAAACACTTCCTAGCACCCTAATTTTATCCCAACCCACCATTTCCCATAGTGTCCTATCACATCATCTAAGTTTTTGCACATTGCAGTGATAAAGTCTAAGCATATGACACTGACGGGGTCGCCAAATCAACCCCATCTTAAAGATTTAAGGGATCTAAAGTACGTCACTAAAGGGGATGACATTTTAAAATAAGTGGTCTTACATATGACATAACTTAAATAGTTTTAAAAGTAGGGTTGACAATACGTAGTAGAAAAACATCTGTTTTTTATAATTTAAAATAGGACTATTAAAAGCGGGTCTGTAACATGCAAGTGAGGTACTTTAGAGTCCTTGCAACCTTAGCACGGTCATACATGAGTTGATTGTAATACAAAACTCGCATTGCTTGTTGAGCTATACTCGGCGAGCAATGTTCGTTTAAGTATTACAACCAATAAATTGGTCACTCATCCTAATGAATAGGATTTGTCATAAAGGCAAATGGGCGATGCACATATAACATGAAAAAGACCCAATACATTGTGATTGCAGATCGAAGCACGAACAATCACAATGGTCATCAAAAGGCAAAGCACACATTATGCAAAAGAATGCAAGAATGCCACATGCAAATGACACACAAAGTGGATATACTAGGCACATGCTACCTATGAAGAGGAATTACGCCATCACTGCGAACTCAAGCTGGATGTTATGCAAAACTGACTCACATACGAAAGATTCATGTCGGTGCTTGTTCAACAGAAAGAAAGAAAGGGGAGAGCTCGTAGTCTAGACTGCATCTCGGGAGTTTGAAGACCATCCCATTTCCACAAAAAAGAAAAGCCCTTCCAAAATTCCAATCTCATTTTGTCCTCTTTGCATCAAAACCGTCCACTCAGAAATTGAACGGAAACCTATTTTTTTCGATCATTTTCAAAAAGTGTTTTCTCCTCCAAAAAGAACCTCTCGGGAACGCAATCAAATACTCGAGTTGATTGTACTTGCTTTGCTCGTTCAGCTATGCTCATGAGCAATGTTCGTTTAAATATTACAACCAACAAACAGATCACTCATCCTAACAAATAGGATGCACATATAACATGCAAAAGACCCAATACATTGAGATTGTCCACCGAAGCACGAACAATCACGTCGCCAAAAGGCGAAGCACAGATTATGCAAAAAAATGCAAGAATGTCACACACAAAGCGAATATACCAGGTACATGCTACCTATAAAGAACAATTATTCCATCCCTGCGAACCAAAGTTGGATGTCATGCAATGAGCAGTCAAATACTATAAATGAATTTGCATCGAGTATAGGATATTGATAAGGGAATTACTCTGCACCCGGGGGACACAAACAAACACACGCAAATATGCACTTAGTCCAACAAACAAGCACACGCAAGCAAATACATGGAGGAAGAAGCAAACTGAGGGAACAAAGTCTGCACTGCCAAAAAATCACTTGCCCCAATTTTCCCCAACTCTTGAGACACCTACACCATGTACCTTTGATTCAAAACTTTTAGGTGATATTATTCCTCATCCGTCCACTCCTACTCCCCTAACTTTAAAGAAGACCTCTTGCAGTGATGCATAACATCCTCCTAATCATTTTGGGTGAAAACTTGACATTGCAAACTATATTTCTTATTCTAACATCTCACATTTGTATGGAGCATTCATTGCATCATTGGACTTTGTCTTTATATCCAAGTGTTGGCAGGTTGCTAAAGAGGATCCCAAGTGAAAAACGACGATGCATGAAGAGCTTAGAGCTCTTAATAAAAATTGAACATTAGAAATTCCACTACCAGCAGGGAAGAAGAAATTTGGATGCAAGCTAATCTTCAAGGTAAAACAAACTCTAGAGGGAAGGTGGAGAGATACAAAACACGACTAGTGGCAAAAGGGTACAATCAAACGTATGACATTGATTACAATGAAACTTTTGCGCCAGTCACAAAGATGAGCACAGTAAAGACACTGACTTCTCTAGCAGTGAATGGTGGGTGGAGACTCCAACTGGATTTGAAGCATGTTTTTCTTCATGGGGAGCTACCGATGGAAGTATATTTGAAGATACCACCACAATTCAGTACATCCCAGATTGTGGGCAAGGTGTGTAGGCTCAAGAAGTCGTTGTATGGCATGAAGCAGTCTCCTTGAGCTTGATTTGACAAGTTTAGAATGGCGATTGTTGGCGTGGGATATCAACAGATCAATGGAAACCAGACGGTGTTCTTTCGGCAACATAAATGCCACATTGTCATACTTATTGTGTATGTGGATGATGTAATTATCACTGGTAATAATGACAAAGATTACTCAATTGAAGGGAACATTGGGGAAACAATTTGAGGTAAAGGATCTAAGACAACTCACATACTTTCTTGAGATTGAAGTAACCCATGAACCTGAAGGGATGGTCATATCCTAGAGGAAGTATTTACTGGATCTTCTCACGAAAACTGTGTGAGGACAAAAACATGCAATCTCCCCAATTGATCAAAAGCTCAAGCTCAGTACAAAGACAGGTAAATCAATTGATTGTGAGAGGTAATAGAGGCTTGTGGGCCACCTGATCTAAATGTGCCACACTCGACCCAACATTTATTTTGCAGTAAGTGCGGTGAGCGACTACATATATGTATCAAATTCTGAGGTATCTGAGTGCACCAGAGAAAGGGTTGATATTCAGAAGAATGAGCATGTAGATATTGAGGGCTTTTGTGATTTTGACTAGGCAAGTTATGTTGGTGACAACGATACACATCGGGGTACTGCATGTTTGTAGGTGGCAATTTGGTCTCTTGGAAGAGCAAACAACAATCAATTGTAGCAAGATCAACAACATAAGCTGAATATAGGGTCATGGCATTAGGAATTATTGAGATGATGTGGCTGAAAGTCTTGTTGGTTGAACTAAAAGTGAATTAGAGAACTCAAATGAAGTTGTAGTGTGACAACAATTTGGCAATCAGTATTGCAAACAACCGGGCGCAACATGATAGAACCAAACATTTGAAGATTAATAGGTTCTTCATCAAGGAAAAGTTGAATAGCATACTATTGAAACTAAATCATGTAGCCACTGGAGAGAAAGTGGTTGTCCGCCTCACCAAAGGACTTGACTCATTAGATTTGTCTAGGTTATGTGACAAGATGGGCATTGTGAATTTCTTTTGTCCATCTTGAGGGAAAGTGTTGAGATTTGTATCTAATGTAGGGTCTTATTTTGTAAATAGATGAAGTCGAGAGATTAAATGTTGTAACGTCAAAGCTCTATAGAAACCCATTATCAATGAAATGAATGTGATTTTTTGAACAATAGTTTATATTTTTATAATAGTGTCATCAATCCAACCACCTGGTCAAAAGGGCACATGCCAAGTCTTTTATCGGCATGAGATTATGTAATGTGATAATAAATCTCAAAATAATAGGACATTCCTCATTCTCCTGAAGGATTAAGATAGAAGTGATGAAGCTATTTGGTCAAGAATTTTCTGGTGCAAAGATTATTGGAAGTTTTCTTTCTATACACTGCATTTGTTTCTCTCATTTCAGTACTATATATTGTATTTGTGTCATTTCACTGCTTCATGTTGTTTTCAAGTAACGTCTTCCCCTTAATAATAGAATTTCTTCAAGCATCTTACCCGATCTCATTGAATTGTTTTGCTCAAAAAGGTAATTTAATTTATGTTTTATAATCAACCTTCCAAATGTTCCAGATTCTACGCTTCAGAGGTTTTACTTGCACTTGAGTACCTCCACATGCTTGGAATTGTGTACAGAGACTTAAAACCAGAGAATGTTCTTGTTAGAGAGGAGGGCCACATTATGCTCTCCGACTTCGACCTCTCCCTCCAATGCTCCGTTAGTCCCACTCTCGTCAAATCTTCATCCTTGCACTCCGGCAAACTCGAAAGCATGTTCGACACAGATAGAGGCGTCCAAGGCTGCATCCAACCAACCGCCTTGTTCCCGCGTATAATCCCCAAAAGGAATCGAAAGTCGAAATCGGATTTCGGCGTTGGCGGCAAGCTCCTGCCCGAATTGATCGCAGAACCGACCAATGCTCGATCGATGTCTTTCGTCGGAACCCACGAGTACCTCGCCCCGGAGATCGTCCGAGGAGAAGGGCATGGCAGTGCCGTCGACTGGTGGACCTTTGGCATCTTCATATACGAGCTCGTATATGGAACCACCCCCTTCAAAGGTTCGGGGAATCGAGCCACTCTCATCAATGTCATAGGCCAGCCGTTGAGGTTTCCGGAGGAGCCGGTTGTAAGCACCAGCGCACGAGATCTCATCAAAAGTCTTCTGGTTAAGGATCCGCAGAAAAGGATAGCTTATCGCAGGGGTGCGACGGAGATAAAGCAGCATCAGTTTTTTGATGGAGTGAATTGGGCGTTGGTGAGGAGCATGCCGCCGCCGCATGTGCCGGAGCCGGTGGACTTTGGCCGATATGGAAACAAAGATGTTACAGACACAAGGAAGCAGGATGGAGCTGAAAATGGTAGAGGCAGCAAACAGATCAACACTTCACAACCTGATTTTGAGTATTTTTAGGCTGTGTGTTTTTCAATGGAAAGTCATAGAGAGGGAGGGAAAGAAGAGATTTAATTTTACTTTTGAAAAATGTGAAAATGGAATGCTTGATGCCTCTATAAACACATTCTTTTTCACTCCGACGGTCTGTTTTGACATTTATGTGCTTTGATGCGTAAATAATTGTTATTGCATTTACCAACTTTACAAATATACTTGTTTCAGAGAGAGTTGTCTCTGTCATGTAGAGCATGAAGGTTGATTGCAATAGAGACGTAGAGTGAATGAACTTTTTTGGGGAATTTACATGCATACCACATAATATTTGTACATAATTATGTGGAATTCTCTTGCATTAAGCGTTGATGTTTCGTTAGCATCGTAATATTTGAACGGTAACAGCCTTAATTCTAATGGAATTAATTAGCCAACACTTTTTCTTTTAAATGATATATAAGATAAATGTTTTTCATAAAACGACCATTACATGTAGGGTTGTTAACGATCCGGTTTCAAGCTGAGAGCATGAAATTCGCTCAAATAGATTTAGTACGACTAACTCAATTTCGAGCTAACCTGACTTGAAATTGAATCGAGCTCGATCTGACTTCAAGCTAACAGAACGAAGGGAACAGAATGAAGGGAACGAGATAATGGAATGAATGGGGTGAGATTTTAGCACTCAAATGTTTATTATCTTCATTATTTACTTTTTCATGCATAAGTCTATGCAATAAAGTGTTCCAAAAACAAAAGGGGATGTTCCCATACATTTCTCAAACCTTTTGGAGCAAAGCTTTAAGATGAGGCTGAAGACTGGTAAGGTTTGTTGCCATTTGGACAATGTATGATAGTTCGCCATTCATGACCTTGAAGACCCTGGTTATTTCCTTCACCTGCCATAATTAAGTCTAAAGTCAAAAGAAAAAAAAGACTTTTCAACAGATGTTCTTATGATTATGGCTCAGGTGGAAGGTTTGTTGTGAAAACATGAAAAAAATTCATTTTCAATTTGAACCTTATGATCATAACAAATTAAAATTCACTTTAATTTGCTTTGAGATGATATACAATACAAATTTTGATTGATTCCTCATATATTGCATTCATCTTGAAGAAAATTCAATGGCTATAAAGCCCAGACTGACAAATATTTGATGAGGATATCCTGATGCAAGAATTTTATAGCATAAAATTGTAATTTCATTTAATTGTATCCATGCAAACACCATTTTTGCAGGATTGTAACCTTAACAATTTGGATTAGACTTTTGATGATGATGATGATGCCTTCAGGTAACTTGAAAACATGTAGTAACAATATCTTTATAAATGGCTTAAATTTAAAAATAACTCCATGTTATCTCAATATCTAGCTCCAAAAGAACTAATGATTCATGCAAAATTAGAAAAAGAAAATGTTTTTGAGTGGCAAATAATATACAAAGATTCCACCCTACATTTCAAATTTTATACAGATATTAAGTGAAGACATCCTACGAACATGAACTTCCATGATTAATAATCTCTCCAAAATAAATATGAACATCTCTTCTCTCAAAAAGATAAGGTATGGCCAATCATAATTTGAAAGTACTAACAATGACTATGATACATAAAGTGGTCAATTTAGCTATAAGAGTGAACCTTTGTCCACTTTGAGGAGCAGCATTTTGCTTGAATTATATATGATTTACGTGGCAGCACAAAGCCTCATGTGACTCAAACGCCAAGCATTTATAATTTCACCCATTAGGTGCAAGTTGTTGGCATCATTTTTTAATGTCACGAGTGTAGGGTGTCCATCAACACGACTCAAGATAGTCTACGGTTCGTCTGTAGCACCCTGTAGCTGAAGAAACCTATCCAGAACTCTCTAGCACTTGTTCGGGGCATGAAGTTAGGGGTGGCAGTGATTTAGCCTTGCCCGGGAGAACCTGCCTTCAGAGGGCCTCATTCAGGACACGGAACATATTCGGTGCCCATTTTGGTCTTTAGAAGTCACCACACGTTCATATGAGTGGCACCCAGGCGCCAGAGGCTCTGAGGCATAGGCTCCAAGCTCAACTTATCGCGTGGTTTCAACCTGCAAGTCCATGGAAACCAGTCAAAATGCCGTATAACCTCCGGTTAACCGCCATGGACCAGGTCTAAAGCCAAAAATGGGAGTTGAGCTCACGTGGGATGCTTCCTAATGGGGCAAGTGGTCAATCCATGCATTGAGCCAAGGGAATATCTTCTCGAGCAGGGACCTTCAGCTAGATCGAACTCCATTTTGTAAAGTTCGGTCTGTGAGAGCTTGGGGAGCTATGGGAGAGCTATGAAGGAGTTTTTGGAGAGATTGAAGAGATATTTTTCCTGATTCTGCTTCCATCTTCCTCTTCCAACTCTTTCATTTTCTTCTTTTTCTTCCTCTTTATTTTCCTTTCTAACCACTATCTCGTCGAAAAAGCCAAAGGAGTTCTTGTGCACTGCCTCGATGGAGTCTCCTTCTTGAGGAGAGCTTCCCATTGTTGGGAGAAGGATCTTCGAGACATCGCTGGAATCTCCTCCTTAATGAGAGTTTCTTCATACTTAGGAGAAGGGTTCACACCAAAGCTCAGGAGTTCGCCAGAATCTCCTCCTTGAGGAGAGCTGCCTCATGCTTTGGGGAAGTACCTTGGCAGCTTGTCTCCTACTGTTGGGAGTGCTTCATCCAGGACACAATTGGACGTCAAGCAACCACCATGGCGGTGAGAATCCTCAAACTCTCGCATTTTTCTTCTTAGAGTCCCTACGTCTGGTTGTTGGAGGATTAAACACTTAGTTTTTGTGTGCTTAGAAGAAACTGATAGGTTAGGGAGACTTTTGCGGACTTTTTTCATACGAATGTGAGCATTTTCCCTAAAACCCTACTACCAAAATTCCTATAAAAGACGAGATTTTGTCAATCTCTCCATTTGTTCGGTGATTTCACTTGAATAGACAAGTGAACTCGAATGATTGGTGGGATGACGCCCCTTTGGTCGTCATTCGCTCGATCACGAATAATTCACCTTGTGGATAAATCCTTCGCTCTATGTCGGGCAAATGGGTGGCAAGCTCTCGTTGCTTCGTGCAATATGGCATTGACACCACTTCCATTTTTAAACATATATCCTATGTGAACGAGTTTGGCTTGCCATTGAGTGTTATGCGTGCATGCCTTTTGCCACATTTTGTGTGTTTGATATTTGTACATGTAGAAATTTGTGTGCCCATTTGTAGCATTTTGTCTATCTCATGTTGATTATGTGCATATTGTATGATTGATCGTGTGATCACTTTGATTCGATCAGCCGCATCGACATGATTGATTGATCACCTTGGGTCTGATCGACCGTTCTGGCCCGATAGACCAATTTTCTTAGCTCGATCGGCCGCCCCGGTCCGATCACACAGTCTTTGGGTTCGATCGGCCGCCCCACTCCAATTACCCAATCTTTGGGTTCGATCGACTGCCATGTGTTGATCACCTGCTTTGGGTCTAATCGGTCGTCCTGACCCGGTCGACTTATTTTCCGAACTCGATCGACCACCCCAGCCCGATCACCCGATCTTTTGGGTTTGATCAATCGCACCGGTTCAATCACTCACATTGAGTCTGATCAGCCATCCCAACCTGATCATTTTTCGAGCTCGATCAACCGATCTTTTGGGTTTCGATCGCACCAGTTCAATCACCCGCTCTGGGTCTGATCGGTCGTCCTGACCCGATCGACTTATTTTCCGGGCTCAATCGACCGCTCTGACCCAATCATTCGATCTTTTGGGTTAGATCAACTGCACTTGTTCGATTACCCACTTCGGGTTCGATCGCACGTCTTGGATTGATCGACTTACCTTTCCTGTTTGACCGGACCGGCCGCCATAACTCGGCCGATCAATCACTTGCATGCTTGTATACTCTTTGCATCATATTGCATGTTTATTTACATGTGTATGAAAAATCTTATTCTGATTTGATGTCTACGACTTGTCATTGCATGTAAAAGTTTTTTTTGCCATGTATGTTTTGCATATGGCATGTTTGGGTGTCTCTTTAAACATCTATGTTTGGGTGTCTCTTTGAACATTCATGTTTATGGTGTCACTTTGAGCACCCCCGCTTGTGGTGTCACTTTGAGCACCACCACTTCTGGTGCCTCTTTAAGTGTCCACACTTGCAAGCGTCCTCCACAAATATGACATTTTATACATGGGGATGGACACTTGCGCTCTTTGGGAGGAGTTGGCTCACTTATAGAGCATCTATCCCACTCCATACGATGCCGCCTAGAGTGTCGTAGTTATTCCACATTGTGTTAAGCACGAGTCAAGCTTCATAGCCACTGAACTCATGTGAGGCACAATGTGTGTCCACTTAGGTGTGTGATTCTCACTTGTAAGTATCGCATCACTTAGCCTATTTGACACTTAATATTTTTGTATGCTTGTCATTTCTGCATGTCGTATGCTTGATATTTCTCATATGTTTGTCGCTTTTATGTATGTTTGACTGTTCTTATGTGTCTATTACATATCTTGCATGTTTGTATGTCTGCTCGGAGAGTGCCTCTCAGGTAAGGAATTAATCCTTTTCATATATATCATTCCACTCGATGCAAACACATTCGTACTTGGTGTCTGCTTGTCGCATGACACCCCGATTCCCCCGGGCAGGCGTAATTCCTCTTTATAGATAGTTTTTTTTTTTGGTTGGTATATCATGTTTGTATCATGTTGCACGTAGCATCCTTACATATTTGCATAATGTGTGTTTCGCCCTTTTGGGCGCCCTTTATGATTGTTTCGTGTTTTCGTCAAACAAATCACAATGTAGGCATTTTGTATGTTTATATGTTTGTCCATTCATCTTGATAACTTGTCCTACTTGTTAGGAGAAAGACCAGTTTGTTGATCGTAATACTCAAACAAGCATTAATAGCGAAGATGTCTCAACGAGCAATGCAAGTTTCTGTGTCAAGAGCAACAAACAATATAACTATACTAAAGATCTAAAAAATTTAAAGCATGTCACTTGATTGATCTAGATCTGTCATTAGTGGTATGTTATTTTAAAATATACAAAAATAGATATTTTTGCTACTATAAGTATTATCCACCTTACTTTAAAAAATTTATATATATGTTAGGCATAAATGAAGCCACCTCTTTTAAATGTCACCCATTTCTTGTGGTGTGCTTTAGATTCCCTATATCTTTAGGACGAATTAGGTGTAGCGACCTCGTCAAAGTCATACGATAACTAGAAACTTTATCCTATGCACTTAGATGATAGTTAAGACACCTTTCATTAGATGGTGTGCTAAGTAGGATTATGATGTTAGGTAGTCTTTTTTATGTTTGGCTAGTATTCTTTGTTGGTTTGGTTACCCTAGTCAAAAATCTTTCTTGCTTGTGTGCTTGATATGCATGATAGCGTATTAGGACATTCTTCTACAAAAAGTTGTGTCTATATATAAGTATATGTACACACACATGTATCATTAAGGGAGAGCACGAAATAATTTCTACTAACATTCGGTTTGCAGTTTTCATTTAGCTCCCACGATGAAAAGACACGGCTCAATGTACGTGCATGTTTGTTGACTTTCTCGTTAACGCGATTTTCATGCAAGTCGAATCCTTTTTATTTTATTTTGTTATGTACCTTTCAGAGTCCTTAGAAAAGTCATTAAGACAATCCTATAGCGGAAATAAGATACGATCACGGGTTCTAAGGCATTTTAAAGCGGAAATCACATGGCGAGGGATCAAAAGCAGCAAATCGTGTCTCGTATGTTAATTCTGCATTTGAAATTGATGCATAGAATTAGAACCGGACATATATATGTGGTGTCCGGGCGCTCTTTTTCCTTTATGGGATATATTGTCA